GTCCGATTAATTTCTTTCTATTTTTAGTAGAGACGGGGTCTCGCTCTTGCTCAGGCTGATCTTGAACTCCTGAGCTCAAACAATCCTCCCGCCGACCTCCCAGAGTGCTAGGATTATAGGCGTGAGCCACCACGCCCGGCCTATATAGCTTTTTAATTGGGCATTACCTCAGAGAAGTAACTTAGTTATTTATATGTTTCTTTTATTTCTGTGACATTTTAAAGTGCCAGTTCTAAACTTTGTGAACTTTTTCCAATCATTCAAAATTTTTAAACCAGGTAAAATATAACAAAAAGCAGATCTGTCCATAAAAGAGAAAGTGCACCTAATGAAATAGAATTTATGTAAGTTCCCCCCTTTTTGGTGCTTCCTTTACCTGGCATAACAATCACATTTTATATAAGTTGCCTCTGTGACACTTAGATTTTGAGCCTGTAGAAATAAGGGAAGAATTGTATCATGCATTTTTGTATCCCCAGCACCTTGTGTATATATGACAAATGTAAGGCATGATGAAGTTTATGAATTAAGGATCCTAAATTTAATAAGCCCCCACTTATTTCTAATTATCTTTGCTTTGAATGAATTTGTTCATGATGAAGTATTCTGATTATGTGAATTCTAGCTAAAAGCAAATATAACTTACAGTTTTAGGGAACTAGGTGTTACAGTCTAAGGAAAAATGGGAGTCAATGGGATTAGTAATTCGAATCAACTAATGTGGTGTGGTGCTGGAGAGACAAAGAAAAATTAATGTTTTGTACCTTAAGGTATCTAGTTTTAGCTGAAGTTATTGTGCAGTTTTAAAAGTAGAATTTTTTTGAGGCATAAAGATTTTTAGTTTCTTGAATATAAAAGCTGTTTTTACAAAGAACTGTTTCTTTTTTAAAAAGAGATACAATTCACATACCATAAAATTTACCCTTTTAAAATGTACAATTTGGTGGTTTTTAATATATGTACATAGTTGTGCAAACCATCAACACTTCCTGAATTTTAAACATTTCATCACCCCAGAAAGATACCCCATGCCTATTAACAGTCATCCCCTAATCCCTGCCCCTGCCCACCCACTCACCACTGTCCCGTCTGCTGGCAACCACTAATCTGCCTGTGGATTTGCCTATTCTGCACATGTCATATATCTAGAATCACATACTGTATGGCCTCTTGTGTTTGGCTTCTTTTACTTAACAGCGTTCTCCATCCTCACCCATGTTGTAGTATGCATTAGCACTTTACTACGTTTTATGGGTGAATAATATTCCTTTGTATGGCTATCTCACACTTTATGTGTCCATTAGTTGATGGCATTTCAGTTGCTTCACTTTTTGGCTATGATGAATAATGCTGCTATTCATATAGAAGATTTTATGTGAACATATGTTTTCAAATCTCTTGGATATATATTAATATCTAGAGTAGAATTGCTAGGTTATATGGGAACTCTGTTTAACTCTTGGAGGAATTGTCAAACTGTATTCCAAAGCTACTACACCATTTTACATTCCTACTAGCAGTGTATGAGGGTTCCAGTTTCTCCATATCTTTACCAATACTTGTTATCATTTGTCTTTTTGCTTACACCCATCTCGGGATGAGATAGTATCTCATTGTGGTTTTTTATTTTCATTTCTCTAATGACTAACGATGTTGGGTACCTTTTCATGTACTTGGGGAAATACTTGGCCCATTTTTAAATTGAGTTATTTGTCTTTTTACTTTTGATTTGTAAGAGTTCTTTATGTAGTCTGGATACTAGACACCAGATACATGATTTGCAAATATTTTCTCCCATTATGTGGGTTGTCTTTTCATTTTTTTTGATAGTGTGTCTTTCGAAGCACAAATTTATTAATTAATAATGTCCAGTGCATTCATTATTTCCTTTGGTTTCTTGTGTTTTATTTAGGTGTCAGCTAAAAACCATCTCTAAACATTATGCATGGTTGTTCACTTTAATTGCATTTTGGCCACTACTAGGCATATTACCTAGTATTAAGTATCCGGTAAATACTTAACTGGTAATAAAAAATGAATCTTGTAAGTGTCCATTTTTTTCTTATAGAAATTTCCATCGTGAAACCTTCAGTCATCTTACCCAAGCCTCTAACAACCTGGGTAAGCTAAAGATGTGAATGGAGCATGTGAATACAGCATGGGAAGATTGTGTTCACAGATTTTTCCAGCATGTCCCTAGAGATCCAATATATAGATGACAACCACCGTGGGCTGCCTGCAATATGAAAAAATGCCTGCCTTCTTATCTGCCAATGGGCCTGAAATCAACTTAGGTTACTTAGCTCAGCATCATGTTCTGCTTAAAAGAAACGTTGGGAATCAGTTACTTAAATAAAAATTGGTGTTGAGGTTAGGCTAAAGTCTGCCAAAAATAAATAGTGAAGCGGCATGGTTGAGTTGACATATTTTCAGGAAACTAGAGATAAATTTCTAGAGAGAGATATTATTATATAATAATGTTATCAGTTCAAACCAGTAAATCTTAGTTTGTCTTCAAAATACATAAATTTAAAAGAAAGTTTTCATTTATTTACATAATTACACAGTAGTTTTTATCATGTATCTTCTACTTCATTTTTAAAAAACTATCTTTAATACTTAAATGTTCTTTTACTTAAAAAGCTGGGATATACTCTTGTATACTTATATTGGCCAAAGTTTTATTCTTTTCCTCCTCCATACATAGCTATGTGATTTAAATAGTAAATTGTATTGTAGTGAGTTGCTAAGAAGTAAAGATAAATCAGGAGATTGGTGAAACAAATCTTGTATCTTTACAAAATTTTTCATTTGGTGATGGAGAACAAAAAACCCTGTTTCAGTCTTACATGTTTATGTGGCTCATGCACTTTTCCTTGTGTATATCTTCCAGGAAAATCTGGCTAAAAAACACTGGTATTAACTTGTTTATGTGAAATAGTGAAAGGTTTTTGAATAACAATAAATGTAGTTCTATATACATTTATCAAATGAATTTTTATTCTGTATCATCTCTATTTTATGTCATCATGATAATTAATCTGCTCACGTAGACTAATCTGTCAAGGACTTTAGTCATAACAGTTCCAAAGGGTAGTTACCGGATGGAATTCTGATATTTACAGACAGTGGTGCTAGATGGCACATTTTATGTGTTATTAATAAAATATTGTTTTTGAGACCCTGTGACTTTGTGTATGTTTCATAAATAGCTTTGAAGAAAATGAACATCTAAAGCAGGCGACTGCTTTCCAAAAAGAGCAAAAGTAACCTTATAGTAGAGACATTAAGGATCAAAGTCAAGAGAACAATTCTATTGTTTCAAGCTTACTTCCATCTTTAGTTTGCTTTGCTGTTCTTATTAAAAATATTTTGTTCATACTGCCGTTAGCATTTCATGAGCAGTTTACCAAGCAGTTAGTGTAACTGAAATGTATGATGCTTTGTTAGTTACAGATAGTACTAGCTATTATTAGTGAGCTCTTAGGACAAATGACCACTTTGCTGGCTTGTTCCAATAACATGGAACTTGTAAAAATAAATTTGACATTGACCAAGTATATTAATAATAGTCCACCCAGATTCCTCGGATGCCTTTTCACCCTCCTCCAATTTTTATGTCCTCCCCCTTTCACTCTACCTCTAGGGGTCTTTGGCCTGAAATGCCCCTTGACTTTACTGTATGAAAGCCTAGCTCCTTTACCTCAGACTAGTGAAACTTGCACTGCAAAATTTCCTGGAGGAGTCAGGCTGAAGTCAGCCTCTATGCAGTTTTGCCAGAAATCACACCCTTGCTTGACTTCCCTTCCTTGTTCTGCTATTCCCACTTCTTACCACCTCCTTAGTAAACCACCTGCATACATTCATCTCTCTGTGCTTGTGGGGAACTGACCTAAGATACTGACTGACTAGAGGTAAATGATTTATAACAAAGTCTACTGGGATATTTTTCCTGTTCTGGAATAAGGTGAAAGCTGGAGTTGAAAGGTGCCACGTCCCACATTCTAAGATTAGAGAACTGTGGGGTTTATTGAAGGGTGTCAGTTCAGAAAACATGCTCTATCACCAACTACCATTCCACAGATAGCCTGGGGCCCCTGGGAGAACCCCGCTCTTGGAGGAGTGCAGTGTTGTAGAATGTAATTTAGTCCTTTGAGCTCTCCCCATGGGGGGAGGGAACAGGGTGCATCTGTACTCTGAAACCTCAGGAGGGAGGCCTGAAGAAGTAATTCAAGATTCAAGATGCTTGCAAGAATGGGAGATCAGCATTTTTCCTTCTGGTTGGATTTGTGTTCATCCAGCAGTGGATTAGCTCATCTGTTGTTTTATTCCAGAGCATGGAGATAGAATCGGAAGGGTTTTGTGGGGACTGTGAGACAGAGAGGTATTGAAGATCCACCCTGCCTGCTTGAGAGTTGGTACGTGAGTTGGGGGCTAGAAGACTTCTGCAGCAACATGGGTGGGCGGGGAGGGGTGTGGTGTAAAGCGAGTGCAACCGATGAGGTGATGCCACTGGCTGGGGATCAGCCAGAATAGGGCTAACTCAAATCTCAAAGGGCTTCCTGTGCCTGGGAAATTGCTCAGAAATGAGCCCTGCTCCTCTGGGTGGGTGAGTGTGGGTTGCAACTGCACAGCGGAACCTATAAACCATTTATCAGAATGCAATAGCCAGTTAGGGAAAGGGTTGCAACCCCGCAGTAAGGCAGTGTTTCTCAAACCAGGCTGCACGTGGGATCACCTGGAAAGTTAAAAGCAAACGAAACGCATGCTCAGGCCCCATCCTAGTCCAATTTAATCAGAAGTATGGAATTTTAATGTTAAGCCTAAATTGAGAGCCATTGCAATAAGGAAACTTAGCAGCTACTTCCCTAGGGGAAGAGAGTAGAGTAGAAAGTATATAAAAGCAAACCATTTGTAATTAGAATGAAGCTATAGAGCATAGGGAGGAAAAACACTTGGAATCCAATGTGCAATCAATGTGACCACTTTTCTGGCTTGTTCCAATAACATGGAACTTGTAAAAATAAATTTGACATTGACTAATTATATTAATAATAGTCCACCTAGATTGCTCGGATGCCTTTTCACCCTCCTCCAATTTTTATGTCCTCCCCCTTTCACTCTACTTCTAGGGGTCTTTGGCCTGAAATGCCTCTTGACTTTACTTTTATAAAAAATTCCACATTGGATTCAAAGCATTTTGAATTAAACAGGACTGAGCTTTAGAAACTGAAATAGACTAAATATCTGAAGATTTAGAGAATCTGGCCAAGAAGGTAAAGGTGATGCTACTCAAGAGCAAAGAGGGATTCAACAGAAAATTATTGCAGGTTTAGTGTCCGATGACTTGAATCTTTTCTATATACTAAGTTATAACTTTAGAGATCTTTGAGGTTGCATAGCTTTGCATCTTAATCTGCTACAGTTCATATCCAATGATCCATGGATCATATGTTGGTGAACTTGAGAATGAAGTTAGATTATTTTTAATTATTTTAAGAAGTAATGCAGAATGTTAGTGGAATTTTTTTACACGGCATACTTTTTTATAATTTTTCTTACCCTTTTCCGTGTTAAATGATGCCAAATATTAACTCAGATTATAGATACTGTATTTAAATTTAAAGAAAAGTATGGGTCATAGAGATAGACTGTTGTTCTCAAGGTCCCCTGTAGATGGCATTACTTGACTCTGTCATTAAACAGTTTATAGAAAAGTTAAAATAGAATCTTTTGAAATGCATTCACACTTTTAAAAGGTGAACTAAATTAGATTTTTTTTTTTTTAAAAATGAGCCTACCTAGAATGAGTTACTTTCAGAAGATAACACAGTATAAGTGAAACTGGATATTTTTCTCATAAAATTGTATTTGGTTTATTTTTCTGTCCACTTCATTCTGATACGCCTTTTGAATACCATTCATAAAGCTACATAAATTGCAATTCATAAAACATTTTTCTGCTATTGATATCTTCTGTGAGGAAGAGAGACATTTAAGAAGCTAAATTAGTTCAAGTGAAGCTCTGAAAACTAATTTCACCTTGAAAGTATCTTTTACATAATGCATGATTTTACATCTGAGGTGCTTGAAACTTCTAATTAATTTTAATTAGTTTTTCAAACCAGTGTGCCTTCTTCACTAGAGTAAGTAGTAGTTTTTACATCAGAAGTCTGAAGCTCTGTCTTTGGCTATTCCACAATCCTATAAGTTTAGGCCTGGTATTTGACTTTAGGTTTTTCTTTTTCCTCAGGAAACATCAAGATTTGAGAGTTTTGATTCATTGATAATAAATATTGTAAAAGTATATTCTGTTTTCATACCATAGAGACTTTCAGTCTAATACAAATACAGGGGGAAAGAGTGACAATAAAATCGTACTGAAAATTAAGTAATGAAAGCAAGGTTTTTACTTTACAAATCATGGATAGGAAAGCAATGAACTCTCCAGCCATTTTCACTAATTAAGTTTAAACTGTTAGGTATTTAGGGTAATTTAAGACATTGTCTTAAGTTCTTAATGTGTTCATGGAGTTCTGTGAATATCTAATGAGCCCCCATCAATTTGTGAGATACATGCTAAATAATTATTAATAACAAGATACTATAGTTTGCGAATAATAGACTTAAAAATATATTAGAACAAATTATCTCTATAATACTGTTTTTCTCACTTGCATTCTGCAAACAGAGTATCAGAACACAGGCCCTGAGACCAGATTATCTGTGTTTGAATCCCAGTTCTGCCATTTACCAGCTGCGTGACCTTGAAGTTACTTAAACTCTCTGTGCCTCAGTTTCCTCATATGTAAGGTAAGAATCATAATAGTACCTACCTCATAGGTTGCTATAGGGCTTAAATTAGTTTAATAAATGCAGTGCACTTAGGCACATAGTAAGTAGTCAATAGATGTGATTATTAATGTAATAGGGGTAGAATTACAGATAGGGACTTGGAAAATGTGCATAATGCACATCAGTTTTATCGTGTCGCAGTGTGAAATCTGCATCTTTTTGAGAGTATAGCATGTGTGTAAACATTCCTCGCCCATAATGGTGGGAATGGCAGCTGGGATAGAGGGAAGTTGAGAACATTTTTCCACAGCCGTGTACTATTATATGAACAAGTATGCGATTTTAGAAAGAACAAAAATGGTGGAAGAAAAATCTTTGTTCATTTTTATGGTGCAAAAGCAAGTGCCATCAGCATTCAAAGGCTAATAGGGACGGAGGAAATCCTCATTTCTAAATATGGGAGGCTGGGTTCACTGGCTGGAGCTCCAAGATTAACATTTCTTGGACCCTTAGCCAATTCTTCCTTCTATGGTTCTTATCGCTGTTAAAACTGAAACCAGTTAGGTAGCAGGTAATTAAGATACAGCAGAAAGTCATTTTTCTGAAGTCTGGGACTTGATCTAACTGCCTAACAATATTTTCAGAGTTTAGATTTATTAACTTTAAAAGAGCAAGGTGACTCTTTAAAGTACTTTTGTAGCAGTTGCTTCCTGCATAAATGATCTTTTAGTCTGTAATAATAAGTGCATGTGGTGGGCTGCAGGGCTTAACTAATTCCTCGGCCTGTCTGACCGTGTCTTTACCAACAGACAGGAATGAGAGAACCTTGAATTGTATCTGCTTCTCCATCAGCCAGTGTAAAGTGGCACATTTTTTTTTTTTTTTTACTGCATTATGTTAAACTTTCAAGGCCTTTTTGTTTTCAATTGATGGAAAAAATTGTTGTGAATACTAAATAAATGGTCTTCATTTTAGAAACCTGTGTACATCACCTGTGATACATTAACTTATTTTGATGAATCAATTCACATTTTTTAATTTTCACAAGGTTGAAAACAGTATTTCTTCCTTGCAAAGCAAAATGAAGACTTGAAAAAGAGACAGTCTAGATGGAACTCTCGTAGGCTTCAAGGTTTAAGTAGTCAGCAAATTTCTTTCAGGTTATTAGCTCTAATGAGGTGCCACTGGCAGTCTGTTAAACTCTTGATGGGTCAGTGCTTTTAAACACTCTTGAGTAATTTTTAGAAAGGTAACTTAACTCTGATTTGTTAATTTACTGAAATCCAAGCATTAACAGTGTGAGTTCCAGGTCCATGTGTTGGTTCATCATTGCTTGGACAAAGCATTGCCAGAGTTATATGTATACAGTACAAACAATCCCGTGTGTCTAC